AAAAACCTCGAATAGCCAAAGTAATCTTGAGAAAGAAGAATGGAACTGGAAGAATCAACCTGCCTGACTTCAGACTGTACTACAAAGCCACAGTCATCAAGACAGTATGGTACTGGCACAAAGACAGAAATATAGATCAATGGAACAGAATAGAAAGCCCAGAGATAAATCCACGAACCTATGGACACCTTATCTTCGACAAAGGAGGCAAGGATATACAATGGAAAAAGACAACCTCTTTAACAAGTGGTGCTGGGAAAACTGGTCAACCACCTATAAAAGAATGAAACTAGAACACTTTCTAACACCATACAAAAATAAAATCAAAATGGATTAAAGATCTAAATGTAAGACCAGAAACTATAAAACTCCTAGAGGAGAACATAGGCAAAACACTCTCTGACATAAATCACAGCAGGATCCTCTATGACCCACCTCCCAGAATATTGGAAATAAAAGCAAAAATAAACAAATGGGACCTAATGAAACTTAAAAGCTTTTGCACAACAAAGGAAACTAAAAGTAAAGTGAAAAGACAGCCCTCAGATTGGGAGAAAATAATAGCAAATGAAGTAACAGACAAAGGATTAATCTAAAAACATACAAGCAACTCCTGAAGCTAGAGGGGGCAGTGGGGGGTCGGGGCTGGGCTTCAGAATCTGGGGAACACCTGCTACGTGAATGCAGTGCTGCACTGTCTGAGCCACACGCCACCCCTGGCCCGCTGGAATGTGTCCCAGCAGCACGCCACCCTCTATCCGGCCCGAACCTCCTGCATGCTCTGTGCTGGGCGAGCTCACGTGACCCGAGCCCTCCTTCACCCGGGAGAGGTGATCCGGCCCCGCAAGGACCTGCCGGCGGGCTTCCACAGACACTAGCAGGAAGATGCCCACGAGTTTCTGATGTTCACTCTGAATCCCATGCAGCGAGGGTGCTTGAGTGCATCCCAGCCGTCGGGCCATCCCTCCGAGGACACCACCCTCATCCGTCAGATCTTCGGCGGGACTTGCAGCTCTCAGATCCAGTGTGTCCACTGCCTCGGTGTCTCAGGCACGTTCGACCCTTATCTGGACATCAGCCTGGATACCACCGCGGCTCAGAGTGTGGAGGAAGCTCTGAGAGAGCTGGTGAAGCCCGAGAAGCTGGACGTTGAAAATGACTATGACTGTGGCGTTTGTCTCCGGAAAGTGCCTGCCACCAAGAGGTTGACTTTGCACAGGACGTCCCAGGTCCTGGTGCTGGTGCTGAAGCGGTTCACACAGGTGAGCGGGGCCAAAAGGGCTCAGGAAGTGCGCTATCCCCAGTGCCTCGACCTGCAGCCCTTCACGTCTGAGCGGAAAGCAGGGCCACTGGGCTACGTGCTCTATGCCGTGCTGATGCACTCTGGGTGGAGTGGTGAGCGAGGACACTACTTTTCTTTCGTGCGAGCGGGCAACGGCCAGTGTTATAAGATGGACGATGCCAAGATGACGGCCTGTGACGAGAGTGCTGCCCTGAGCCAGGGCGCCTACATCCTCTTCTACTCCCGGGAGGGTGCGTGGCAAGGGGGTGCTGGGGGAGGGTCTGCGGCCCCCCTCACGCCTGACCCCACACACCCCGGGGAACCTGACCCTGCCGGCCCCGGGGAGCCTGTGGGAGAAGCCAGCGGCAGAGCTCCTGGGACACAGGTGTCCCCGGGGGCCACAGAGGTCGAAGGAATCAGCTTAGAGCAGTGGAGACGCCTAAAAGAGCACAACCGGCCGAAGACGGCCTCCGACCTCTGGAAGATCCAGTCGGCCCTGCCTGCCGGCCCAGTCGTGATTCACCAGTCCAAACACGGAACAGGGAGAAACGGCAAGCTGCCCGAAGAGGAGCACGACCGGCTCGACCGTTCCAGCATGCACAGCCCGCCTCCGGGCCCAATGAGCGTTGGCAACGGCCCTTGTGCCAGCGGGAGGGCCCGAGCGACCAAGAGGAAAAACAAGAAGCTGCGGCCATCTCTGGGGCTGTGGCGGTAGGTAGGCTCTGAGGCACATGCCTGCAGAAGCCCAGGCACACTCTGCGTGCGGCACGGCCTGTGTGACCCACCAAGAGTTCCTGCGAGGAGCGAGTTCCTCTCGGCGGTGTGGCTGGTGCAGCCTCCTGGAAAAAGGCGGGGCCTGCAGTGTGCCCGGGGCCACGCTGTTCACCTGGACGGTGGTGAGGGGCCAAGCTCTCGACGGTTGGCTCTGATGGCAAGTGACTGGAGAGGATGGGGTGCGTGACCGGGTCTGAGCACAGTCCGAGGGCCTCGCCCTTCTGCGTGGCTGGGAGAGTCCTCTCTGGATGGGACTTTGGGTGTGGCTTTGCCTTTCTTTCCCCGTCTGCCTTCTCTGGCCGCACCGCTGGCCTCTGGCCTCTGGCGAGTGAGGAGGCAGGGAGACCCCTCCCAGCACGCCCACAGCCAGCCAAGCAAGGAGGCGATCTCCTGAGCCCTGTGGGGGGCAGGGAGGAGCGGGTGCAGGTCTGTGAATCGCCTCCTTCTGGCCTGCCAGGCTCTCGAAAATGCCCCATGCATTGAGCAGGGTCCGCGGAGAAGATGGGCGACCAGGCTCTACGGGTGGAATGTCCTTGGGAGCCATTGGGAAAGTGCTACTTGGGAAAGGGACCTCCGGCAGGAATGACGCGGGGGATCTGTTCGTCACCGGTGGGACGCGCGTGCGCAGAGTTGCCTGGGGCTCCTTTTCCGGTGCAAGGAGTATGCTGAAGAACCTCCAAGTGCCCAACGGGAGAAGCGATTCACCGTGCCATGAGCACCACCACCAGCACCACCGGCACCAACACGAAGGCCAAGGGGAGAAAGGCAACCCAACGAGTCCCAAAGAAACTTCTCCACCAGCATGGCACATGTGCCTACGTGGAGATGGGTCATGCAACCGTTCCTTTCTGAAAGCAGAGGTCCTCCGTGTGCTGAGGAAAGACCCAAGCCTGCCCTAGATTGTCAGTGCAAGACAACTGGACATCCGACTCTGTCCATCCTATCTGTCAGTCAGTTGTCTCGTTCAGCTTGGCCCCGGACAAACGCCGCTGGACGGGATGAGTCACAGCCGGCCTCTGAAGTGTCTGGGATGGTGGGGAAACTGTCCTCTCCTAGCTGCTTTCCCGCCTGCCTCGTGATCCCGCGACCTGGTGGAGGGGCGCCCGAGGACCCTTATCGATCCCCTCTTGCGGTTTCTTTCTTTCTCTTCGTTGCCGGCTTCAAACCCAAAACCCTCCATCAAACGGTGGGCCTGGAATTTGCGATTTAGCATCTCAGACCTAGAGGGACAGCTGAGGCTCCTGAATGTGCTAGTCGGCTTGGCATGGAAGAGAGAACTTTCCGCTGGCTTCTTCCCCCCGCACGGTTACCTGTAACGCACCGTGGCCTCCACATGCAGAGAGGAAAAAAAATGATGAGCGGTATCTTCACCCAAGAACTCGAAACAGCGTGCCCTGCATGAGGAAGTCGAGTCACCCACAGGCCACCCTCATTATCACCACCAATCTTCCTCTGCCCCATCGCCTGAAACGGACTTATTGCTTGCCCCATCCACACGCTTTGAAGAAGGAGAAGGAGGTGAAGAAGGTGAAGAAAGAGAAGAAGGAGAAGAACGGTGATTGGAATGGCGTGGCAGAGGGAATGGAAATGTCGCCTGATGCTGGGGGAAATGCATGCAAAGGAGAGACAAAAACTGGCTGATCTGGTTTCTCTGTGCCATGGGAAGGAGGCAAAAAGACAGCAAGGTTGTGAGCACATGTGTCATAAAGCACAAAGCAGTAGGGTCCTGGGATGGGATGGGGCAGTGGGAGGTGGGAGCGGTGCAACAGGCTAAGGCCAAAGCAGGGTCAGGGCCATCTTTTCCTAATAAGGATCAACGGAATCAACACGTCAGCTATGGGAAACCCGTGGACTGTTGAACGGCCGTTCTGGAAGGCAAGCATAATGTCCAGGTCGGGAAAGCAAAAAGCATACATGTCACACACCAAGAAGGAAACCAACAGTCATCCTCCTCCAGGAGGAAATCTGTTTATACCTTAAGTTATAGTGCGTTTTGAGCCCCTCAATTGGAAAGATGACTCTAGAAATCAACTACTGCAATTATAGTAGAAAAAGAGAATGAAAACCTGCAAAAAAAAAAAAACAATAATAATAATGAAATGAATGAAAAATACAAAAAAAAAGAAATTGAAAAATGAACGAAGACACACACACACAGAAGAGAAGTAGAAAGAAATAACGAAAAAGACAATTAAGATTGAAAAGGAGCTGAAGAAGTGAATCGAAAGCTGCAGCGAGCCTATGGCTTTCTGAAGGAGCTCGCTGTGGACCATGACCAACAACCCTGAAGGGAGAAAATCATATGTGCTACACTCGCGGCATCTTTTGGTGCTAGGACCCTGAACGCTAGAAGAGTGGCTAGTGAGAAGGCATAGAAATTGCAGTGGACCTCAGTCGAGGGCAAAGTTGAGGCAAGGGTTTCTTGTTGTCCGGGGAGGGGTTGTCCTCAGGCAGGGGTCTGGGGTGGGGAGACCCCTCGAGGGGAGAGGGTAGGTGGGCAGACATATGTTTCCACAAGTGTGGTAGGATCTGAAGGGTGAGCCCACGGAATTCCTCCCCAGCCCGCATGTGTGTGCTGAACTTGGAAGCCCTGCAGTGACGCTCTAGCAGGCAAGTCTGGAAGGCCCAAGGCCCCCCGAATCATTTGCATCCTGAGCCCTTTGGTCCAGGGCCAGATCGGAAGTGCGTGCGGGGCTTCGTCATGGGGAATTCCCCGAGAAAAGTGTCGGTGGTGGGATGTCGGGAGTGGGAGTGAGGACACCCTCGGACGCCTCAGCCAATGAGGAGCTTGCGCGTGCGGGGGTGGGGCTGTGGGAAAGCCATCAAAGGACCGAGGAGGCGGGGCCCAGGCCCCTTCTAAAAGAAGCACCATCTGAGGGAATGAGGCATCGTCGTGCAGCTTCAGGTAGGAGATGGAAAACACTCGTGGGCCTTGTTTGCATAGACCCGGGGGCTACTTCTGCGCACGGGGGTGGTGCATGTCGTCTCCCCTCCACGTCCTCCCCAGAGGGCAAGGTAGTCGGCCCAGCGCCGCTGGTGCGGATGCCCTTCGGGGACCCTCTGTCCCTGAGGTGTCATCGCCTGCACTTGGTTGGCCCCAGCGGGGTGACTTGGCTCCTGGGTCGGCAGGGCTGGCGCCTGGCCACCAAGTCGCCCTGAGTTGGAGGGGGCCGTGGGGGGTCGGGGCTGGGCTTCAGAACAGCAGGTGCTGGGGAACACCTGCTACGTGAATGCACTGCTGCACTGTCTGAGTCACACGCCACCCCTGGCCCGCTGGAATGTGTCCCAGCAGCACGCCACCCTCTATCCGGCCCGAACCTCCTGCACGCTCTGTGCTGGGCGAGCTCACGTGACCCGAGCCCTCCTTCACCCGGGAGAGGTGATCCGGCCCCGCAAGGACCTGCCGGCGGGCTTCCACAGACACTAGCAGGAAGATGCCCACGAGTTTCTGATGTTCACTCTGAATCCCATGCAGCGAGGGTGCTTGAGTGCATCCCAGCCGTCGGGCCATCCCTCCGAGGACACCACCCTCATCCGTCAGATCTTCGGCGGGACTTGCAGCTCTCAGATCCAGTGTGTCCACTGCCTCGGTGTCTCAGACACGTTCGACCCTTATCTGGACATCAGCCTGGATACCACCGCGGCTCAGAGTGTGGAGCAAGCTCTGAGAGAGCTGGTGAAGCCCGAGAAGCTGCACGTTGAAAATGCCTATGACTGTGGCGTTTGTCTCCGGAAAGTGCCTGCCACCAAGAGGTTGACTTTGCACAGGACGTCCCAGGTCCTGGTGCTGGTGCTGAAGCGGTTCACACAGGTGAGCGGGGCCAAAAGGGCTCAGGAAGTGCGCTATCCCCAGTGCCTCGACCTGCAGCCCTTCACGTCTGAGCGGAAAGCAGGGCCACTGGGCTACGTGCTCTATGCCGTGCTGGTGCACTCTGGGTGGAGTGGTGAGCGAGGACATTACTTTTCTTTCGTGCGAGCGGGCAACGGCCAGTGTTATAAGATGGGCGATGCCAAGGTGACGGCCTGTGATGAGAGTGCTGCCCTGAGCCAGGGCGCCTACATCCTCTTCTACTCCCGAGAGGGTGCGTGGCAAGGGGGTGCTGGGGGAGGGTCTGCGGCCCCCCTCACGCCTGACCCCACACACCCCGGGGAACCTGACCCTGCCGGCCCCGGGGAGCCTGTGGGCGAAGCCAGCGGCAGAGCTCCTGGGACACAGGTGTCCCCGGGGGCCACAGAGGTCGAAGGAATCAGCTTAGAGCAGTGGAGACGCCTAAAAGAGCACAACCGGCCGAAGACGGCCTCCGACCTCTGGAAGATCCAGTCGGCCCTGCCTGCCGGCCCAGTCGTGATTCACCAGTCCAAACTCGGAGCAGGGAGAAACGGCAAGCTGCCCGAAGAGGAGCACGACCGGCTCGACCGTTCCAGCATGCACAGCCCGCCTCCGGGCCCAATGAGCGTTGGCAACGGCCCTTGTGCCAGCGGGAGGACCCGAGCGACCAAGAGGAAAAACAAGAAGTCGCGGCCATCTCTGGGGCTGTGGCGGTAGGTAGGCTCTGAGGCACATGCCTGCAGAAGCCCAGGCACACTCTGTGTGCGGCACGGCCTGTGTGACCCACCAAGAGTTCCTGCGAGGAGCGAGTTCCTCTTGGCGGTGTGGCTGGTGCAGCCTCCTGGAAAAAGGCGGGGCCTGCAGTGTGCCCGGGGCCACGCTGTTCACCTGGACGGTGCTGAGGGGCCAAGCTCTCGACGGTTGGCTCTGATGGCAAGTGACTGGAGAGGATGGGGTGCGTGACCGGGTCTGAGCACAGTCCGAGGGCCTCGCCCTTCTGCGTGGCTGGGAGAGTCCTCTCTGGATGGGACTTTGGGTGTGGCTTTGCCTTTCTTTCCCCGTCTGCCTTCTCTGGCCGCACCGCTGGCCTCTGGCCTCTGGCGAGTGAGGAGGCAGGGAGACCTCTCCCAGCACGCCCACAGCCAGCCGAGCAAGGAGGCGATCTCCTGAGCCCTGTGGGGGGCAGGGAGGAGCGGGTGCAGGTCTGTGAATCGCCTCCTTCTGGCCTGCCAGGCTCTCGAAAATGCCCCATGCATTGAGCAGGGTCCGCGGAGAAGATGGGCGACCAGGCTCTACGGGTGGAATGTCCTTGGGAGCCATTGGGAAAGTGCTACTTAGGGAAAGGGACCTCCGGCAGGAATGACGCGGGGGATCTGTTCGTCACCGGTGGGACGCGCGTGCGCAGAGTTGCCTGGGGCTCCTTTTCCGGTGCAAGGAGTATGCTGAAGAACCTCCAAGTGCCCAACGGGAGAAGCGATTCACCGTGCCATGAGCACCACCACCAGCACCACCGGCACCAACACGAAGGCCAAGGGGAGAAAGGCAACCCAACGAGTCCCAAAGAAACTTCTCCACCAGCATGGCACAGGTGCCTACGTGGAGATGGGTCATGCAACCATTCCTTTCTGAAAGCAGAGGTCCTCCGTGTGCTGAGGAAAGACCCAAGCCTGCCCTAGATTGTCAGTGCAAGACAACTGGACATCCGACTCTGTCCATCCTATCTGTCAGTCAGTTGTCTCGTTCAGCTTGGCCCCGGACAAACGCCGCTGGACGGGATGAGTCACAGCCGGCCTCTGAAGTGTCTGGGATGGTGGGGAAACTGTCCACTCCTAGCTGCTTTCCCGCCTGCCTCGTGATCCCGCGACCTGGTGGAGGGGCGCCCGAGGACCCTTTTCGATGCCCTCTTGCGGTTTCTTTCTTTCTCTTCGTTGCCGGCTTCAAACCCATAACCCTCCATCAAACGGTGGGCCTGGAATTTGCGATTTAGCATCTCAGACCTAGAGGGACAGCTGAGGCTCCTGAATGTGCTAGTCGGCTTGGCATGGAACAGAGAACTTTCCGCTGGCTTCTTCCCCCCGCACGGTTACCTGTAAAGCACCGTGGCCTCCACATGCAGAGAGGAAAAAAAATGATGAGCGGTATCTTCCCCCAAGAACTCGAAAAAGCGTGCGCTGCATGAGGAAGTCGAGCCACCCACCGGCCACCCTCATTATCACCACCAATCTTCCTCTGCCCCATCGCCTGAAACGGACTTACTGCTTGCCCCATCCACACGCTCTGAAGAAGAAGAAGGAGAAGGAGGTGAAGATGGTGAAGAAAGAGAAGAAGGAGAAGAACGGTGATTGGAATGGCGTGGCAGAGGGAATGGAAATGTCGCCTGATGCTGGGGGAAATGCATGCAAAAGAGAGACAAAAACTGGCTGATCTGGTTTCTCTGTGCCATGGGAAGGAGGCAAAAAGACAGCAAGGTTGTGAGCACATGCGTCATAAAGCACAAAGCAGTAGGGTCCTGGGATGGGATGGGGCAGCGGGAGGTGGGAACGGTGCAACAGGCTAAGGCAAAAGCAGGGTCAGGGCCATCTTTTCCTAATAAGGATCAACGGAATCAACACGTCAGCTATGGGAAACCCATGGACTGTTGAACGGCCGTTCTGGAAGGCAAGCATAATGTCCAGGTCGGGACAGCAAACAAACATACATGTCACACACCAAGAAGGAAACCAACAGTCATCCTCCTCCAGGAGGAAATCTGTTTATACCTTAAGGTATAGTGCGTTTTGAGCCCCTCAATTGGAAAGATGACTCTAGAAATCAACTACTGCAATTATAGTAGAAAAAGAGAATGAAAACCTGCAAAAAAAAAAAAAACAATAATAATAATGAAATGAATGAAAAATACAAAAAAAAAAAAAGAAATTGAAAAATGAACGAAGACACACACACACAGAAGAGAAGTAGAAAGAAATAACGAAAAAGACAATTAAGATTGAAAAGGAGCTGAAGAAGTGAATCGAAAGCTGCAGCGAGCCTATGGCTTTCTGAAGGAGCTCGCTGTGGACCATGACCAACAACCCTGAAGGGAGAAAAGCATATGTGCTACACTCGCGGCATCTTTTGGTGCTAGGACCCTGAACGCTAGAAGAGTGGCTAGTGAGAAGGCATAGAAATGGCAGTGGACCTCAGTCGAGGGCAAAGTTGAGGCAAGGGTTTCTTGTTGTCCGGGGAGGGGTTGTCCTCAGGCAGGGGTCTGGGGTGGGGAGACCCCTCGAGGGGAGAGGGTAGGTGGGCAGACATATGTTTCCACAAGTGTGGTAGGATCTGAAGGGTGAGCCCACGGAATTCCTCCCCAGCCCGCATGTGTGTGCTGAACTTGGAAGCCCTGCAGTGACGCTCTAGCAGGCAAGTCTGGAAGGCCCAAGGCCCCCGAATCATTTGCATCCTGAGCCCTTTGGTCCAGGGCCAGATCGGAAGTGCGTGCGGGGCTTCGTCATGGGGAATTCCCCGAGAAAAGTGTCGGTGGTGGGATGTCGGGAGTGGGAGTGAGGACACCCTCGGACGCCTCAGCCAATGAGGAGCTTGCGCGTGCGGGGGTGGGGCTGTGGGAAAGCCATCAAAGGACCGAGGAGGCGGGGCCCAGGCCCCTTCTAAAAGAAGCACCATCTGAGGGAATGAGGCATCGTCGTGCAGCTGCAGGTAGGAGATGGAAAACACTCGTGGGCCTTGTTTGCATAGACCCGGGGGCTACTTCTGCGCACGGGGGTGGTGCGTGTCCGTCTCCCTTCCACGTCTTCCCCAGAGGGCAAGGTAGTCGGCCCAGCGCCGCTGGTGCGGATGCCCTTCGGGGACCCTCTCTCCCTGAGGTGTCATCGCTTGCACTTGGTTGGCCCCAGCGGGGTGACTTGGCTCCTGCGTCGGCAGGGCTGGCGCCTGGCCACCAAGTCGCCCTGAGTTGGAGGGGGCCGTGGGGGGTCGGGGCTGGGCTTCAGAATCTGGGGAACACCTGCTACGTGAATGCAGTGCTGCACTGTCTGAGTCACACACCACCCCTGGCCCGCTGGAATGTGTCCCAGCAGCACGCCACCCTCTATCCGGCCCGAACCTCCTGCACGCTCTGTGCTGGGCGAGCTCACGTGACCCGAGCCCTCCTTCACCCGGGAGAGGTGATCCGGCCCCGCAAGGACCTGCCGGCGGGCTTCCACAGACACTAGCAGGAAGATGCCCACGAGTTTCTGATGTTCACTCTGAATCCCATGCAGCGAGGGTGCTTGAGTGCATCCCAGCCGTCGGGCCATCCCTCCGAGGACACCACCCTCATCCGTCAGATCTTCGGCGGGACTTGCAGCTCTCAGATCCAGTGTGTCCACTGCCTCCGTGTCTCAGGCACGTTCGACCCTTATCTGGACATCAGCCTGGATACCACCGCGGCTCAGAGTGTGGAGGAAGCTCTGAGAGAGCTGGTGAAGCCCGAGAAGCTGGACGTTGAAAATGCCTATGACTGTGGCGTTTGTCTCCGGAAAGTGCCTGCCACCAAGAGGTTGACTTTGCACAGGACGTCCCAGGTCCTGGTGCTGGTGCTGAAGCGGTTCACACAGGTGAGCGGGGCCAAAAGGGCTCAGGAAGTGCGCTATCCCCAGTGCCTCGACCTGCAGCCCTTCACGTCTGAGCGGAAAGCAGGGCCACTGGGCTACGTGCTCTATGCCGTGCTGGTGCACTCTGGGTGGAGTGGTGAGCGAGGACATTACTTTTCTTTCGTGCGAGCGGGCAACGGCCAGTGTTATAAGATGGGCGATGCCAAGGTGACGGCCTGTGATGAGAGTGCTGCCCTGAGCCAGGGCGCCTACATCCTCTTCTACTCCCGGGAGGGTGCGTGGCAAGGGGGTGCTGGGGGAGGGTCTGCGGCCCCCCTCACGCCTGACCCCACACACCCCGGGGAACCTGACCCTGCCGGCCCCGGGGAGCCTGTGGGCGAAGCCAGCGGCAGAGCTCCTGGGACACAGGTGTCCCCGGGGGCCACAGAGGTCGAAGGAATCAGCTTAGAGCAGTGGAGACGCCTAAAAGAGCACAACCGGCCGAAGACGGCCTCCGACCTCTGGAAGATCCAGTCGGCCCTGCCTGCCGGCCCAGTCGTGATTCACCAGTCCAAACTCGGAGCAGGGAGAAACGGCAAGCTGCCCGAAGAGGAGCACGACCGGCTCGACCGTTCCAGCATGCACAGCCCGCCTCCGGGCCCAATGAGCGTTGGCAACGGCCCTTGTGCCAGCGGGAGGACCCGAGCGACCAAGAGGAAAAACAAGAATTCGCGGCCATCTCTGGGGCTGTGGCGGTAGGTAGGCTCTGAGGCACATGCCTGCAGAAGCCCAGGCACACTCTGTGTGCGGCACGGCCTGTGTGACCCACCAAGAGTTCCTGCGAGGAGCGAGTTCCTCTCGGCGGTGTGGCTGGTGCAGCCTCCTGGAAAAAGGCGGGGCCTGCAGTGTGCCCGGGGCCACGCTGTTCACCTGGACGGTGGTGAGGGGCCAAGCTCTCGACGGTTGGCTCTGATGGCAAGTGACTGGAGAGGATGGGGTGCGTGACCGGGTCTGAGCACAGTCCGAGGGCCTCGCCCTTCTGCGTGGCTGGGAGAGTCCTCTCTGGATGGGACTTTGGGTGTGGCTTTGCCTTTCTTTCCCCGTCTGCCTTCTCTGGCCGCACCGCTGGCCTCTGGCCTCTGGCGAGTG